AGAAATAGCCCTGCCAGTTATCTCATAATGATCTTGATTATAATTTAATGTTCATTGTTAATACAAACTTACGCACCATTTCAATTTTTTAGTGTTTTCACTTTCTAGAATATGGATGATAATATATAGACGATTACAATAATTTACATTGACATTTTCATATAATTTTTTTACTTCTCCGTCAGATCAAAACGAATGTCAAACCTTCGGTCGATGTGGCAGTGCTAACTGTGTTAATACATTGGGAAGTTACTACTGCGGTTGCAACCAAGGCTACGTACTCTCTCAGTCACGTTCGTCCTGTCGAGGTAAGTACGTAGTAGTACTGCGCGTGTAACGCGCGTTCACACGTAATTGCGTAAGTGAGACCCTACGTAATTGGCGTGCGTAAGACCTTGCGTAAGCGAGACATTACGTAAGTGGCTTGCGCATTTTTTTTAATATCAGTTAGACAAATTATTTGATTGGTAAATTTAATACAGATGTCAACGAGTGCGTCACAGGGCARAGTCCATGTTCGTATGGCTGTGTAAACAACAGGGGAGGGTTCAGTTGCTCTTGTCCTACAAACTACTACCCAATAGGGGGAGGGTAAGTATATTAATTTATACCTTCATTCATTTTGTTGCTCGCTTGTTAGCTTAATTGCTTGCTCATTTCTTTTTCACTTGCTTGCTTTCTTAAATTGCTCGATTGCGTAAATGCACGCCTGCTTAAATGCAGGCCTAATTACTTGCTAGATTGTTTGCTTGCTTGTTCCCTTGATTAAATGAGTGCTTACTTTCTCGATTGCCTGCTTATTCGCTTGCTTGTTTTCTCCCTTGCTTGCTAAATCGCTTGCTTGTTGGCTCGTTGCTTGCTTGCTGAATTGCTTACTTCTGTGCTCGCTTGTTTCAATGCAGCCTGCATGTTTACTTGCTTGTACTGAAGCTATAAAATTCACAATAAACTCACATAAACTGTACGATGATACACAATTAACCCATTCAAAGGGTTTACATCTTGAGAATACTGTTAAAATCTTAAGAAAGGAATAGAACATAATATTACAAAAGTACAAGAAAATAAACAGCGATAAAACTCACCAAATGGCGGTTTATGCCGGCGTCACACGAAGGGTAACCAAAGACACTCGAGAGAAATGTAAATTATGCTATCACAAAGCCGCAAAATTAGCTGGCCAGCAAATCAACACAAAAGAGAAAACATAACAGTTTGTCGAGGACTTGACTCATAGCAGCGTGCTTGCTTTTAAAGATTCTTGCTTGCTTGCTTGCTTGATTTGTTTTGATTTGTCTGGTTAATTGATGGCTGGATTGATTGATCTATTGATTCCTATCGCATTTTTATTAGCCATTGTTTATCACCTTTCGGCGAGGCCTGTTACGAGTGCGCTCTAGCGAGAGGAGAGGTTCCAACTGGTGGAGTACCACTAGTAGACCAAACCACAGCAAGACCAGCTGGACAGGTTGGCAGCTCAAGTCAGAAATTATTTGCTGACCAGGCCCGTCGAGGCCAAGGAGGACAGTCGCAGCAA